ACCCCAGCCCCCCTGTTCCAGAAATGATTTTCTAGTAAATTAGAACCTGCTCTCTCTGGGACTCACAGATACAGGCTATCAGTGAAGAAGACAGCTTGAGCTTTCATACTACCCTTGGCATTAGCTGAGCGACTTTCATATGACATTTCCAGTTGCTTGTTCAAACGGATAGCTGAAGATGCTCAAATATGCAGAGATATTACCGGTGCATTAATCCTGTGATTGTTTTCTTTTTAAATGCTTTAGTCTGTATTTTGTGATGCAGTCTCACAGGAAATATGGATTTGTTTTTGGAGAATCATCTTATAGAGTATGAAAGTGGGGTATAAAGTAGGTATGCAGCCCAGAGGCTATGAATAATTAAAACATTCTTTACTCCACTCCTGTTACCCCTGCAGATATTTCAGGGGCAGGGAAAGGATGGGCTGTGGACCAAATAAATTGTTTTGATGACTCCAGCTTCTGCTAACTGTCATCTTTCAAGGGAGATGAAGTGAAATTTGTATTGTCCCTTGTAAAGAGAGAGTCAGGTGTGTACTGCAATCACCAAAACAATTTATCCCCCAAAAGATATCTATACAGTTTTCCATTTTCTCCCCTGAAAGAAAAGGTGACCAAATCCATGCATCCATTGCTCTGACAGTGAAATCTCTACTCCTGGTCTAGGAGGCAACATGGAAGGCATGCATGTGAAATGTACAGATCCTACATCAATCACTCTCTGCAAATATATATGAACAAGAGTTGGCACAAACACAGCTGCACAACTGGACTCTTGATACGCTTAATCCGTTCTTCTGCTGAACATACAAACCTATTCGTAACTCTAGGTAGTCATACTGGCAGTCCTGGTGATGTTCCAAGTGGAAATCCTCGAAATATATATATATGGATGAATTATAGTTGGAGGGGTTTTCAATGGTCCATTCACAGTTCAGGTTACTTGTGTAATTTTTGACACCATCATAACCAGGAGAAGAGAAATTCCCACCTGCATATCCCATAAGAGTTCCACCACAAACTGCAGAAACAAAAGACAGTAATAATTCTTGTGTGAGGAGGAATCTTGCCCCTGTTTATTCTGATATGCTCATGTCAGCAAACATACGCAGTGATTAGATCAAAACTTTTAAAATCTTCTTTTCTATAATTTACTCCTGTGTAAAAGAGAATTCTTGCCTAGTGTCCAGGAATTTATTGGCAAGTCTTTAAAAACACGTGTGTAAAGCAAAGAAACAATTATTCATGGTATCAAATAAAATATTTGAGCAGTGCCATCAATACAACAAACTTTATTTAACGTTTTGATAAAATCCCACTCCAGCTCAGTATTGCTCAGCCCTACCCATTACCTAATTCTAGACTCAATATTTTTCTGGAACATACCCTCAAGAGCAGTACACTCATGCTACAGTAGGATGGTTGGGGGACATTGGAAAATCAAGTTTGAAAGACTCAAGGCTGTAGAAGTAAGGTTCTGCCAGCTGCCTTCTCTCTGGAGGCTGAACTTGCAAAAGTGTGTTAGCTGCACTCTTTCACAAGCTACAGTCAATTAATTACCCCCCTGAGTAATAAGGAAGCACTTGAATTATTCACGTTGTCTATGGCACTATGCTTTTTGGATCTTTTTATGGAATAAGGCCACTTCAGACTGTCTCTTACTCAAGAGTAAGTACAAAACAATAAATCAGTAGTGAGAGTAAGGACTGTGATCCATAACAGAGGTTGTTCTTTTCTTTTCAAATTTGACATAACAGGCACATAAAAGTCTGAAACTCCCAGAGATTCCACATTTTTTCACATCCTTTCAACTAATTAAAGATACATGATATAATCCCACCGAAGAGATGTAAGAGAGAAAAAGAGGTATCAGAAGTTTGTTGTTTGTCTTGGTAATTTTTTGACATGCACCAGTACTTTAACTATGAAATGACTCACCAAAGATCAAACAATTCAAACACGCACACTACCTGCATCTTCACTAGACGTGTATGAAACACTGAAGCCTCTGTCTGCATGGGACATATCTGTCACCAAAATTACTTTCATTGTGTTTCCAGAGGATTTCACCTCAGTGCCTGGATTTACCTCACCACACAGCTTGGCCAGCTGGGGAGAGTTCTGTCTGAGGCCATTGTAAACCTATTGGGTCAAAACAAACTCTTATGAGTAAAACATGAAAAAATACCTTACATATTTTGGCAAAACACAAACATATGCCCTCTTTCTCACCTTTTTTTTTTTTTTTAACAGTAATTGCAACAATTTGATTGGGAAGAAGACTGTATTTTAGCTCAATATTTATATCTTCAATCAATAATGTCAGCTACTGATCATATTAATTCAATTTCAAATGATCACCTTTGTAGTCTCGCTACTGCAAACATCAGCTTTATAAAAAAATCTCCTCCAAAATATTCAGTGCTGGTGGGTAGTTTTGATTAGTTCAAACATTTAACTTTTTGATGATCCAGATATATTTTGCAGTTTCTTTCACACAGCCTTTAGCCTAGGAGTTAATTTCCTTCTTTCTAGTACTATCTCAACAGTGCAAGCAAGGCAGAAACTATGTTTCCCACTGAGATCTGGAGTATGTTAGAGTGCTGAAGGCACAAAAGCTGGCAGGACAGATCTTCATTTAAGAGATCGTTACTTCATTAATTGATAAAAAGCCAGCTCCCCGTGGTCTGTCTAAAGCACGTCTGAAGGAAAATAAGGGGAAGATCCTCTACAACTCACAAGGGAGAGCTACTTCACCCCTTCCACTTGTGCATGCATGGGCTAGTTTCTGATCACGCTAAAACTAATTTCTGTGTTTGCACTGCTAATCTGAACAAATGGGAAACTAAACTAGATCTTCCATTCCTGCAATTTCATAGACGAATCATATTTTTGAGGCATTTGTACATCTGACCAGGTCCAGTTCTGCATGTCAGGTTTGAGGGGGTTTTTGCACTAAATAACTAAAAATCTAAAATAACCATGTGAAAATAACCAAAATCTATATTTTTGGAGATGGGGGTGATAAATAGCTAGAATTTCATGGGGTCTCCCTATCTTTCTTTCAGAATATGCAAGGTCCAACACAGTAGTAGCCATTTGTTGCAATCTCAGGCTTTTTTTTTCTTTTTTTTTTTTTAAATTGACAACAATAAGAAACAACAGCAGTAACAACCTCCAAAGTCAAAAGAGACTTGGAACTGGTGGACTTTGTGTCCAGAGAAGAGACACTGAAAGCTTTCAAAAACTCCAGAGCTTTTTTCCATAATTGATAAAGAGCCAATTCCAATCATTTCTTCAAGTTCTTCTCTATACCTGGACCACAATTACAAAATTTCCATACTCTAAAACAGGTAGATGAGTTTAGATACTCTATAGAGCTAACTCTCTCACTGATCTGTTTTCCCCAGATTAAATTATGATTTGTCTTAAAACCAGATGTAGAACTGCAAATGACATTTCAGCTCTATTACGTCCACTAATGCTCCATAAAGGGATTAGGAAAAGCATTTTCTGCCTTCACACCCAATACTTACAGCCACATAATCTGATGAGCATCTCCAGTGCTCTTCAGTTTTCATGTCATTAAAGGTTAGAGTCACACGTCGGCCTTCTTCCACTGTGATCCTCCATTCACACACTCGATTATGTGGGTACAGGTTGGGATAGCTGGGCGAAGTAAATGTTCCAACAGGGGCAGTAAATTCCCCACCACATTCTGAAATACCCAAATATTGGGACACTTCTTAGAGTAAAGCATTGCTTATAGAGTTATCACAAAAAACCCCTCATTAATAATGCAAGCAAAGAGATCCTGAGAACTTGATTTGATATGCCTGTCCTGGCCATATGTTTGTCTAAACAGCTAAGTTCCTGCCAGTCTTTATCACTCATCCATAAACGTAGTTGAATATTACTTGACCATAGGAGCTCCTTTTAGTCTAGTTATTAATATTCCCTCCTCTGAAAGGCTCATGCTGGGCTTTAGAAGACTGAGGGACCCACTGGCTTTGATGTCAAGTGATACAAGCCTCTCACTGTGGCAGGATTGAGACATTTCTGCCTTTCAGATGACTGGGCAGAGCTACACAGAATGAGCAGAGTCTTAGAGTCAGTAATTATGAAGGATATGTTTTTCCTCTGCTGGTTAACAGAGGCAGAGAAAAAGCTTCCAGGGATTTTAAGCAACACTTTTTCATTAGTTATTTGTGGTTTTCCTGTCTTTGTTATGAATATCAAATTGTGCTCTGAAGAAAGATCACTAAAGGTCTCAGGTATAGAGTGCATTTTTCCTCTGAGACTAATGGTATACATTTACCAGCTTACATTTAGTTTCCTTTTAAAATACAAAGATACATTTTAATGGAGCGCAGTGGGACACTTAGTCCCTTTCCTCACCCTCACAGACTCCTGTAGAATAGTCTAACCTGCGTACCCACCTGCATTCATTTTTTGCTAATACAGTTTCTCTTCTCTGGTTGCATAACAGGGTCCTGGGAACTGAATAACATTCTTTTGGAGTTTGCTTCCCCCTCTGTTATTTTATTGCAGAAGCAAACACAAAGAAAAAGGAAGCTTTCAGCTGAGCTTTTAAATGAGCTGGAAAGAGTTAAGAAGAGTTGACAGATTTTTCAAGACCACTACCACAAAGAATTTCTTAAAAAGTAGCCATATTTTGCCAGGACAAGCGTTGTATGGGCACTAAAGAATGTGAAAGAGAAGTGTTAAGCAGAAACAGGTCTACGTCCTTAGTCCTGATCAGAGCAGCTCTTTCAAGTCATTGAGGTCAGGACAAGAGGCAATGGGCACAAATTGAAACACATGAAATATTCCATCCGAACATATGAAAACATTTTTTACTGTGAGTGTTGTTCAGTACTGGAATAGGTTGTCCAGAGAGGTTTTGGATTCTGTATCCCTGGAGACATTCAAAACCTGACTGGCCACAGTCCTGGGCAACATCCTCTACCCGACCCAGATTGAGCAGGGGGGTTGGACTACCTCATCTCTAGAGGTCTCTTCCATCCTCAGTGGCTCTGTAGTTCTGTGATTCTGCTTAAAGCCTACTGGTTAAAAACTACTGGTTTTAGGGAGATTTAAGAATACCACTCACCTCAAAAAGCCAGAATAACATAAAGGAAAATCACAGCATTTCTTTACCTAACTCTTCATCAAGAGGGATGTGGGGAGGGTATATCAGGACACCCCTGGACTGATCGCTGCATAGAAAAGGTGTGGACAAGTGTGCTTCATTGTGTGAGACCTACCACTGATGGCAACATCCATTATAGCAGGAGGCTGCTTGCCTCTCAAAGTTTCAGCTCTGCTAAGTAGTGATCAGAGAGCTCTATTCATACCTCCCCCAGAGTTTATAATTAAGAGCAAATACACACCACTACAAGAACAAGTGATCTACAATATATGCTGTACTAGTGCAATTATGGTCTGTAGTATATGTTGCTTCCCTGAGAGTAACTTGCAACCTTACAAATATCCAACCTTCAGTACTTGAATCAAAGCGCAGTCTGAATCCTCGGGCATTGACTGATCCATCAGTGACAAACTTGACATAAGCAAAACTGTCAGAGGTGTCCACAGCAGCAGGGAGAGTATTACCACAGTACCTGCCCAACAAATTCCCTGCAAAAATCAAATACAGAAAGACAATTTTATATCAATATATTATTTATATTTACACTGAAGGATCATTTTCCAATCTAACCATACAGGCAGCAGTAAACTAGTAAAATCAAGTTATTGCTGGGAAATAGAAGGATTTTGTTTGTCTTACTTTGCTTCAGCAAGCAAGGCAGACAGACGCAAACACTGTACATTGAAAAGGCTCACTTTGTACCCAAAGGGAAATGCTTTCAGGCACCTCTGGTGAGGTTTCATAGGAGTACTAGGGAAGGGAAGACAAACACTGAAATAATTCTCAGACCAGAAGCGTTGTATTCTCGGATCTCCACAAAGTCATTCGTGCACTCGGAGGTGTTTTGAATATCTAGGCCTTCTAGTCTGATGGTAAGATAGTGGCCCCTGGGACCCTGCAGAAACCATTCACACAGAAGGTTGTCTTGATAATGAAGCTCAGGATACCCCATGCTTTCAATGACGCCAGTTTGTCCTATCACTGTCCCGCCACAGGGAGCTGCAAAAGGAAGAACATTGCTTGGTTGACTGAAGGACGTCAGCGAGGTGACCCTTCTCCTAAACAAGACTTAGAGTGAAGGCACAACTGACTCTTCTCTAACTGCGTTAATAAAATAGGAATTGCCTTCCAGTCAAAAATCACCCACATTCTCCTTCTAATTCAACCAGTCCTAGTTTGGGTTGGGTTATTTTTTGTTTTTTGTTTTCTGTTTTTTCCACACAGCCCCTTCCATTGCAAGCAACCCTTCCTCTCTCTCACTGATTTCAAGGTCTTTATCTAATCTCTACCCATGTCCATAGTTACCAGAAAATCATGGAAAACTTTATTAGGTAGTTATAAAGAATTTAGTCTGCTAAATGTGGATCTAAAATTTTTATGACTGACAAAAGTTGACTCCTGGTTTGGGCATACAGCTATGCTTCAGACTCCTCTTCTCTTTCTTGCAGTCCCTTCCTGTTCACATTCCACTCCTTGTGATGCCTTGGTAAGGGATCATTGCACAATTCAGGAAACAGCTATTTATTTTTAATTTTCTCTTTCTGAAAACTCATTTCTCTGTGATACCTGCAAACATAAGTTCATAATACTAAGGCTTACAGCAAATAATATTCCCAGGTGGAATTTATTGGATTTTACCATATATTCAATGTGTCTGCTAGTTACAGTCTTTTTGTAGCAATAACAGTTCTGTTCATACTGTTAGCTCTTCTCAGTGGTGACTGCTTTGTTCCAGGGTGACTGGCATATAGCTGAAATACTGTAAATCTCTTATGGATAAATATAAATTGTGGTTTCATATACTAACAACTTTTTCTTGCATGTTGCTTCAGTTTCCACATTCAGAAATATAATAACACACTGATTATCTAGCAGCATGGTTATTATAGATTGATTTACATTTACATAGAGAAGCTTCTAGTTCTTCTCTTGCCAGCTCTCTTTGCATTCCCCTTCAGGATCCTGCTCATGAAAGTGACACTAATTTTATATGCTGAAAATCAAATAATGTTACATGACTTTATATGTGTCAACCTTTTTTTCTACTGCCCCTTTGATAATTGCCTTTGACAAGAGGCTGTCCAGTCTCTGTTTCCACTGCTGCAGATCTGAGCACTTTCGTTCTTCCATAGTTTTCACCTCTTGCTATGTGCAGAACATGCTGATCTTAATCCGTATGATGATTCTGATGCCTTAGCTCTAATTGAGAGGCGTGTACCTGTCAGTCCACCTCATAGGCATGATTTAAGCCCTATTACAAAAGCCTGACACTTGAGCCCAAAATCTCCTCTAAAATCAGAGAAATTGATAAATCCAAGAATTACCAATGGAGTATTTAGCATTGAATCCCACGTGCATGGCATTGCTGTCAGACCTGAACCTCAGGTACATGACAGGTCCTGACGATCTCTGCGAGCCTGGCATCAAACCTCCACACAGCTTGGCAATGATAGGGGCACTGGAGTCAGCACCGTTGCGGACCTCTAGGTAACTGGAAGTGCAACTAGGAGAGAATAGAATTTTCTGTTCAATGTATAGCAGTAATGGTTTGAAGTAATTTCAGTATATGCACAAAGCCAGGAAGCTGTAGTAAATTAGATCAGTTACTATGCAGTGTGACCAGGACAGGATCAACAAATTCATAATCAACAATAGTTATGTAATATTTTAACCAAAAGAAGTGCTTTGAGAAAGATTCATTCCAAGCCCAGTTTGTGATCGGATCAGATCTGACAGAAGCAAGTGCTGTGGAGAAGTATGAACAGCACTGATAAAGTGGTTGTGACCATCTTTAACTTTTTTTTTTTTTTTGGCAGCATTCAGATTCAGCAGATTTTCCCTATTAAGTCTCATTCATGACCATTGAATTAAGGAACAGATATAAAACAGATGAAGCAAACAAAAATTAAAATCTGGGGGTTTACATGGGTGGGCACAGAAAGACCCAAAATATCTTAACTAACAGCTTTGCCATCAGAATGGTGCAGCATCCTGGGAAGCCAGTGAGACAGGACACCTTTGGGATCCTCCATCCTGCACTTTTTTTTTTGGACATGGTCTCACAGGTGAGGCTCACCTTTGCCGCATAGTGGTCCAGCCCCAAATCAATGAAGTTATATCATCTGGAAACTAGGCCTTGTTTTATGCTTCAGGCAGGGGTGCAGAACATGTAGAGCCATTGCAAATCAGCAGACAGGCAGTGAAGGAAGGAGACAAATTGTTGTGGTGGTAATCCACTGGATTTAAAAGCACCCGAGAGTCAAAATGACTGAAAATATGAATACAAAAGGACTAGAGGGCACAGATTTTACAGAAAGCACCTTTCTACCATGGATGCTTCCTCTCTGTCTGTTATATTGATTTCTGTCATGCACTGCAAAGTCCTAGGAACGTATATCAGTAGGCTGGTAGCTTTTGTGATCTCTCTCAAAAATTTACTAATCACTTTTGATTGTAAATCTGGAAGTGTGCTCTGGGAGAAATTAGAGAAAGTAACAGGGAAAGAAGAATCAGAATGGAGTCTCTGAAGAAACACAGGCAAAATAATGTGGATGTATACTTTGGTGAAGGTTCAATGTAAAACTGATCTTCAAATTGCAGCTCTACTGCATGTCCATTAGGAGCAGTTATGGTCCAGACACAGTCAGCATGCGGGGGATAATTGCTCGGATAGTTGGGGGAAGTTGTATATCCACTGGGGTTGAAATCATTGATATAAATATTCCCTCCACAAGCTGGGAAAGAAAAGATCACCAATAAAAAACAACATGTTAAGGAAATCAAAAGTATGAATTATCGCTATATTCCAACACAGTTTCCTTTCGGTGTCATATAGTTACATCAAAACCAAATGCATTTTACTGTTTATTGTGGGAAAACATTTTAATGCAATAGAATCCTATGTTCTTGTGCTCCTGCTTACCTAGCTCTCCTCATTTCCAAATGTTCAGGGCCCTGAATTAAACAGCTAGTTCTTCCTTGGATTGCTTCTAAACCAATCAGGAAATGTATTTCTTGCCTTGCTCCTACCTCAGTTCCCAAGAGCTAGAAAGCCTACAAGTCAGACCCATCAATGCTTCCGTGAATCATTCCCTACTTCTGGTTTCCACAGACAATAATGACTGTGTGAGGAACGCCAGTCAGGGCAATCATGACGATTTGTTAAAGTCCATTATCCTACAAAAATATATTTATTTTGACCAGAACATTTCTTTCAAAAACCCCCGCTGTGTTCTAGCAATGTTGGTTTAACACAGGGTTTTAGTCAAGTTTTATAAATCGAAGTGGTAGAAATACTTTGTACAGCTTTGCCCATTCCCTTCATGAATCCCCTTCAGTAATGCTAAGAATGATTCTTTGTGGCAGCATGGAAAAGCGGGCAGAAAACAAGCACTTAAAAATTTTAGTAGACTGACAGGTTGCCTTAGTTGTGTTTAGTTACACTGTTTAACACGAGGTCTCCTGGTGTCCCAAGTGCATTGTGTCATGAACACAGTGGAATAATTGCAAATGCTAAGTCCCTGATTTATGCCTGGGACCTGATTCTCCATTTTTTTCATTCTTTCAAAAAAATGTTAGCTCTGGCAGGGAATGTTATTTTCACAGCTGAGAGTAAAACTTGTGAAAACTTGTGAGAAATGTTACCACCCTTCTAGATACACTAACCTAAATAATTCCTGACATCATTTAGCACTTGCACTGGGTACTATATGTCCAAAATAATGTTCTAGTTTCCAGGTTGGTTTTTTTTTTCCTTTCCTGTATGAATTTTGAACATCTCTTCCTAAGTATAGATGCTACTTCCCTGCTAAAGGGTTTCCCGTAAGTTTTTTTTTTTTTTTTTAACTTTAATACCTCTAGGTTCTGTGACCTGGAGCTGACTCTCTTTAAAAAGGAAAAATTTGAGTGTCAGATCAGAAGTCATGCACTAAAGAAGGAACAGGACATTTTTGCAGACAAGTAATGGTTACCAGGGTTGGGATTTATGACAAGAACCTCCTTTAAGAGGACAAACTCTTGAGTTGCAGAATTTATTTCCCAGACTCACCTAGACTCTTAGCCTCATATTTCAGTTTGAATCCTTGACCCTCATTCCAAAATCAGAAATGAAGTGGACAAACAACTGATTGTCTGTGGTGTACATGGTAGAGATGGGGCTGCTTCCACAAAACCGTCCATTCCCTCTTCCGGACACTAAAGGTGGGGCAGCATTATCTAACCCATTCTTCAGCTAGAAGAAGATAAATTGCTAATGTCACTCAAGCAAACAGACCGGGAATGTAAACTTTATGCACATACCACCCCAATGCTTCCAGACATGGGTGAAAACAATAACCTAGTGATTAATTAATGCACATCAATAAATAAGAGAGAGAGAGAGAAATACTATCTGTAGTATTTATCTTTGGTATTTCCACCCCCTTTCAACCTGGGTTGCCTTACTGACACTGAAATCTAAAAGATTCAGTACCTTTAATAGCTTTGAGGATTTGATGACCTAGCAAGTAATCTCACCTCTACATAATCTCCAAGGCTGCAGGAAGTATCCTCACTCTTAACCTGGAAAGGCTGTTCAAAATGAACAGCAATGATAAATCCAGAAGTTACCACTACATGCCAGGAACAATTCAGATTAGGAGCATAGTCTTCAGGGTAGTTGGGGGATGTTATCACACCCCTGCCTGTGTGTAAATAGCCTCCGCAACCTGAGAAAAATGAGTTGAAGCAAAGAAAAAAATATTAGCATCAACTATTCACATATTAATTTAGAGAAAAACCCTGTCTCCTAAAAGGAAGGTGTGACAGGCAAAAGCAAATGTTGAAACAAGTGTATGAAGAGTTGAGGGGCATAGAGGAATGCACACAATGAATGATCTTCCAAATACAAGCTGATAAATTGCAAGATGAAACACACCAAACATCTTGACAGTGAGACTCAGTTCTCAGACTTAACAGACAAGTAAGCAGGCAGCTACGCCAAGGACCTCCCACGGCATGAGCATATCGTTACACTGTCTGAATGCATTGCCATGGACCAAACCACTGACACCTACTCAAGCTGCCCGTCCGAAGAACTTCCCCTGGCTGCCCATTGTTATCCTAATCACAGAATCACAGAATCACAGAAT